CCACTGTGCCACCAGGGCTTTTCCTCTGAAGCAACAAAAAAAACCAAAACCAAACCCATTGCCATCAAGTCGATCCCGACTCATAGAGCTGCCCCATAGGGTTCCCAAGGAGCAGCTAGCAGATTCAAACTGCTAACTTCTTGGTTAGTAGCCAAGCTCTTTAACCACTGTGCCTCCAGGGCTCCATCAGTAAAATGAAGTCATAATAGTACCTACTCCTTAGAGTTGTTGTTGCGAACTAATTCCTGTAAATGTCAGCATCATTACCATTTTTCATCTGAACAATGAGGGGGTTGTAACAGTCTTTAAGGCAGAAATTCTCAGTCTTTTTGGTCTCAGGACCCAAAATTATTGATGACTTCAAAGAGCTTTCTTTTTTTAATGTGTGTTAACATCTATCAATATTTTGCATATTAGAAATTAAAACTAAGAAAATACTTTAAAATATTTATTCATTTTAAAACAATAATAAACCTGTTACCTGGTAACATAAATAACATATCTAGAAAAATAACTACTTTTCAAAACAAAGAAAATTTGCAAGTCTGACACTGTTTACATTTTTGTTAATATCTTTAAAGTTGGTTTAATTGAAGACAGCTGGATTCTCACATCTGCAGTGGCATTCAATCTATTGAAACGTGGTGTTTGGTTGTTTGGTTAAAATATCTGAAGAAAATCCTAGCATCTCACTGACCCCCGGCAAGGGTTTTGGGAACCCTAGACACTTTGAGAACCACTACTTTAAGGTTTCTTCCACCCCTAAATCATTCATTCATTCACTAATTCAACACTACTGGACACCAGAGATACAAAGATGAATCATGTGGTCCCTGTCCTTGAGAAGCCCAGCTAAGAGGTGAATAAAAACTACAGCACAGCATGAGTCCCGAGGAAGTTCTGGCAAAGGTCCTGAGGCACAGGGTGTAATGACAGAGGAAGGAAAAATCATTATGCTGGGAAAGCATGTTGGGCCTTACATGGGCATTTAAGTTTCACCCTCTAGGCCACAGGAGATGGAGTGGCAAGAGCTTGCTTTTTCTCTTTCTTTAATAAGTCATGTTTTTTCTGTTGTGTGCCATCAAGTCAATTTAGACTCACAGGAACCCTGTAGGACAGAGAACTGCTCATAAGATTTCCTAGGCTGTAATATCACAGGACCCGATCGCCAGGTCTTTTCTCCTGAGGAGCAGCTTGTGGGTTTGAATCGCTGAACCTTTGGTTAGCAACTGAGTGCTTAACCATTGCACCACCAGGCCTCCTTAAATCAGGTTTATTTGGGTATAATTTACATAGACGTGCATCCTTTTTAGGTGTATACGTCTATGACTTTTGACTACAGTCATGTAAACACATGTAAGCACATCAAGGTAGAGAATATTCTCGTCACCCCAAAAGTTATCTCTGTTGTCAATCCCCACCCCCCCACCAGCGGTAGGCAACCATTGATCTAATTTGTTTCTATAGTTTAATTTTTATTTTGAAATAATTATAGACTCACAGGAAGTTGCTGAGAGCTCATGTTCCCTTTATCCTGCTTCCCTCAATGGTAACATCTTACATAAGTATAGAAAAATATCAAAACCAGATTTCACCAGTTTAACTTGTTTTAAAGAACATAATTAGGCCAGTTATGACAGATGGGCTGGCAAGGTAAGGACATACATTAGTTATAATTGTCCAAAGAAAGGAGAACTCAAGTAGGTGCAGGGAGAGGAAAGGACTGGAGGAGAACATTTCTGTAGAACATAAAGCATTTGATGTGAAGGTTTAAATTATTATTTTTGGAAATGAAATCTCCCCTATGGCAAGACAACAAGCAGAAGGTTGTTTTAAACTGAAAGGCCTAATCGCTAACTGAATAAAGGTCATGAAAACCCCATATAACCATAGCATCCCTGCTCATTCTTATTTACATAGTTATGTTTGTTCTCTTTAACAGAATTAGTTAACCCCTACCCAAAGCAAATCAATCTAAACCTCTATACTTAACTCTTATTCCTTTCTGGAGTTCAGTATTTTTGTAGGCTCTCCTACCTGCTCCAGCATTTTTTCTGACTGTATCACTGATGATGCCTTAAGCTCTGGATTAAAAAACAAAAAACAAAAACAAAAAACCCACTGCCATCGAGTCGATTTCGACTCATAGTGACCCTACAGGACAGAGTAGAACTGCCCCCTATGGTTTCTAGGGACTTTCTGGTGGATTCGAACTGCCGACCTTTTGGTTAGCAGTCGTGTATTTACAGACGTCATTTACTCATCATGAGACTGTGAGGTAAGCGTTGTCCTCACTTTCACAGTCCAAGAAATTAAGGCTCCTAAATGAGTGGTACCCAGAATCGCATACACCAATACTGTAAAATGCTTAGCGTGGCACAGTGAGTGCGCAGTAAATGTAAACTAGTCTTGAGATTGTTGGATGCCTTGCTCTCTACTTCACCAAACCTAACCTATGGCCCCATTGGACTTCTTTTCTAAAACAGCTGTGCTGGATTGAATTTAGGCAATACATGCCACCGAAATATTTTGGGTTAACAAAAACCCTCATTTAGGCCCCAGTTTGTTTAGGCTGATCTGTAGTTTATCAGCTAGTTACTAGCAGATACAGCCCTTGGATAGGTCTGAGTGGCCTATTTCCTCAAATGTAAGAGTTTTTAATATTTGAAATCAGGAAGTGTCTTACAATCGGGTTCCATGAAATATGGTAACAAACTGGTCTTACTGTGCCTTGTGCTAGATATTTTATATACATTTTAGCACTTACTCCTCTAAACATGGATCTCTGTTATTATCATCAAATATCTGTTATTATGACCGTTTTAACGATGGGGAAGTTAGAGCATAAAGAGGTTAAGACATTTGCCCCAGGTCACGCAGCTAGCGAATGCTGGACAGGATAAGAGTAACTCCAAAGCGAGTAGTAGTACCGTAGAACCTAAGCAAATTTAGCTTCGGAGCAGAGAAGTTTCATTTTATGCAAAAAATTGGAACAATTTCAAATGTAAAGAATAAATTAAAATAACAAATAAAAAATGGACGAAGAAACGGAGGTTCAGCAAGGTTAAATAACTTGTCCAAGGTTATACAGTGGGTATCAGAACCAGAATCCCACGGCAGATCTGACACCCAAACGCGAGCTATTCCCACCACAGCACGCTGCCAACTGACACATAGTAATGGGTGGTATAAATATTTGCTGAATTAATAATACCTGAAAACAAATCTGACAACCAAATTAAAAGCAATGAGGGAAAAATAATAATCGATAAAAACAGAAAACAACACGGGCAGGAAAAAATAACAAAACCCCAACAGTTTTCAAGGCACGATGAGCCACGGCGCTGGAACAAAGTTTGCGCGGGTCCCGGGGACACCGGGACTGGCCGGAGGAAGACTTCAACCGAGATGGTTCCCGAGGAGTCGACCGCGGAGCATAGCACCCAGGCCTGGCCACCTCCTGGACTCCCTCCTGCGCCCACGCCCTCTCCCGACAGCGAGTCACCGGGCCGGGGAACACCCAACGACTACCGGAGGGCAGCCTCCTTTCCCTTCAGTGCAGCTGGCTTAAAAAGAAACACAAACACAAGTCCCCAGGCGGCCCGCGGCCTCTCCTCCCGGCCGCAGCTCGCCGCCCGCGGTCGGCCCAGCAGCCATGCGGCCCAGGGCCGGGAACCCCTCGGGCCGCAGCTGGCCGCGGAAAATGATACGCCATCCGAGATCAGTTCGACCCAGGGAAAGGGGTGCCTACGGCCCAGGCCCGGGCAGGCCGTGGACGGGGTTGGGAGCGGCCGGGCGCCCTTCGGAACGCGCGCGGGAGCAGCGGGCGCCGGCTGCCGGGCATTTCCTCTTCCTCCCTGCGCGCTGCGCGGCGGG